ATTTTAAATAGATTAGGTTTTTCATACAAAACTGAAGTTTTTTGTGTAAATATATCATCATTAACTCTGAGCTTAAACTTAAACAAAACACAAATAAAATATATCAACTTGTAACATGCATTAAATTAAAAAATAAAAATAAATACTAACCTTTGAATGACTGAAGTTGAGACTTTGAGAATGTGACTTGAGCAGTTGAGCTTGAGGCCTTGAATTGAGAGAATGAGAATAGAAGAGATCAAGAGATTAAGAGAATAGAAGATTTCTTGAGTTGAGGACTTGAGGGGGGCAGACCAACCAAGTTAGAGAATAAAAGATATTAAGAGAAGACAAAAGTCAATAAAATAGAAAATTAGAAACCTTTCTAAATTCTAATCTAGGTAAAAAACTAAAAAAGGACACCTAATTGAATTCTAATTGTAATTGCCTAATGGGTTGCCTATTTGGTGTAAAAGACTATAGAAAGTTAGAAACTATGATAGATTGTCTATTTTAATTGTAATTGCCTAATGGGCCTTCTAGTTCTAGTAGAAGTCTAGAAGACTAGTTATAGTTAAGTAGGAAACTACTCAAATTAGGAACTATCGAACTAGTAGAAGACTAGTTCTAGTTCGATTCGGGTCGGATTGGTTTTGGTTTTCACACAAGAAAACCGAAACCAACCCGATATATCGGTTTATATATTTTCCCAACCCGAACTGACCGGTACTGATGAAAACCCGACCGACTCGGGTTGGGTTGGTTCGGGTTGGTCGGTTTGGTCGGGTTGGGCATTCTTATGAACAACCTTAATGTTGGAGAACGAACTGGTAGTATGGCGGCGGCAGGAAGGGATCACAGGGAGAAGGCATAGTCACACTGTGTATTCTTCTCTCTGTAATTCGAGATCTAGTATCTTTGGAATTTCTGGGATGGTTTTGATGGTTCGCCCCCTCCTGCTTTTATAGGCTCAAAGAGATCAGCTCCTGATCCTATCAGGAGTTTCCTAATTTAGATCATTATTTGAATTTGGACTCTCTTTAAGTGATAAGGATAAGACCCTTATCTTATCTRCAGATTAGATCAGCCTTCTCCTGATCTTATCAGGAGGTTTCCAGATTTGAATTCAAATCTGGACTCCTCTGAGTGGATAGGGTAGGACTCTATCCTATCTGCTAATTTAATCCCAGATCCGGCCCCTCTATTTAACTAATTAAAAGGACCAGTTCGAAATGGGCTTCAGGCCCAATAAGTCCATGTACTCAAAACTACTTCCAAACTGCTGTCCAGTTGGGCTTCTTTGTATGGCGTGGGACCCAAGCATTGATCTACACATCAGCCACATGGGCTCGGCCCAGCCTTTGTTACAAGGCCTGGCCAAATACACTGTTGTGGACAGTGCACCCCTGAAACTCATCACATGGGCTTCTATTGGGCCCAACACTTACATTAAGTGGTCCCTGGGCCAAGCCACCTTATAAAACACAGGGACTGTGGGCAGATGCAAGATTAGCCCATCAGGCATTACCCTCAGTGGCCTTACACTTAGCCTCTCAGCCCATAATGATCAAACACTGCCCGACAAGAGAGAACCTCTCCCTCGGCTGCAAGGAACAGTGTTGCACTCTCTGCTTATATGGATCCCGGGAATTAAAACMTTTTGCAAACATTTTAAAAACCGTAATATATATACTTTTATATCTCATATAAAATATATTTTGTAAAACAAATCTCAACGATTGAAATCGACTGTCGGCAGTCTTGGTTTCCATTAGAGAGAGTGCATCCCCGGTCATTACCTTTGTCCGACAAAGGGGTTGATCCTGTCACTATGATCACCCACTCAGATGAATTCTCAGACTGCCCCAACATACCCAGGTTTTGACCCCCGCTAAGGATCTCACTGATTGG